CCCGCCCCCGCCCCCGCCGCCGTCGAGGGCAGACTCGGGCGTGGCTTCGTGGACCAGCTGTGCGCTCGAGCCACCGTCCGACTCCGCCTACTCCACAAAAGCCTCGTCCCTGCTCGAGGGAGATTTATATAGTTTTGCGTTTAAAGTGATTGGAATACGTGCGGCTCACCGGCGTTGTTCCAAATAAGTGTTTAACACTGGAATGGTTCAAGCGTAGATTATTTCTCGGAGTTTGGCAAGTTTACGAAATTGGTACCTGGCAAGAACAAAACAGGATTCTGGTGTAATCTTAGAATATTAACCTTGTGCTCTTATAATTCCACCTGAAAAAATTTCTTGCTAGTTTGAATGATATATGGAACAAGTTTGGGCTTTGGAAGCATTTGGAATTTGTACTTAAACACACATTTTTACATCTAGTGAATACGCGTTCTCGATGGGGAATGGATTTTCATGTAAATACGTATGTTTATAGGAACAAAATAGCAGCTTTCAATAATAGTTTTTAGAGTTCACCTATTGTTTTAGTTTCCAATTTATACATTTTTATTTATCACCACATATTTCGTTATATTTTAGTGTTTCTACATGGAAATGTAACATTTCATACGCGAGGTTGCAATATGTGTTACTGCAATTATCTTTTTTATAAAGCAATGTAATTCTCCTGCGCTTCTTCGACCACCGACCCGTCGCCATGTGTTGTCAAACGTACTCCCCGTCCTCGTCATGGAAACCGCGTATTCCAAGGACCAGCGGATGTTTGTGATGCAGAAACAATTACAAACAAGTACCTGTTCATGTTTCAAAGAGTCCATGCGTAAGTCGATGGAAAACTAACAATTTTTTTATACTCCCATTGTGTAATTCGGGCATTTGATGGCTGCAAGCCATTGAATAATAATACTCATTCATTATGATACAGATTTCATTATTATACAGGTTCTTGACAAATCACAGAGAAGTTTACAAACCAAGTTATAACACTTTATCATTGAGAATCGACCTAGTAAATGTTTCGTTTGATTGTTTGCTTTAAATGGCATTTAATATTATATTATGCTTGTTAATTTTAATTTATTTTGTTAGTAGTACATTTTATGTGGAATATTATTTAAAATAAAATAGATCGTAAATTCGCTTTGATTCCATCTGACTAGGACAGTAATAGGAGTAGATGGAATATTTGACTGACGTTAAGATCACAACGCAAGTCATTTCGTGTTGCATGTTGCTGCCGTGTGGTTGCCCTTAAAAACCAGCCAATCCTTACTTTAAAATGTCTTGTGAATCAGAGGTTAAGTTGGCACCTCCAGAAACAAGAGAAAAAATAAAAGTGGTGACTTTGTAATTATTGCCGCAAATTTTGTACTCTCTTGCAGGACTGGTAAACCAACGCCACCTACGGCAGGGTAGTGTCCGCTACGTGGCCATTTCTGAATCCTGCATGTCAATTGCCAGGAAACGATCCACTGTAAAAGTTTAACTTATAAAAGTTACCATAAGTCGTAGAAAAAGTACTTTATGAAACTCGATGTAATCCATATTAATACAGTCGTGTGAAGTATACGATATGAGACTCGTGTATTAATACCAACATTACATTATCGTTTCATAATGTACTATTTACAGATTATTGTCTTATCATGTTGTTGGAATTAGGAGGGGGTATGTGCCCTTCTCAACCCCCTCCAGGATCCAACACTGGATATACGGTAATGTTATTCACTTGAGCCGGGTCCTCGAAAACAACATTGTATATTCTATGAACGAATTTCATAAATCGAATAAAACTCTTTATGTGGTAAAGACTAGTGTACAATTACTTCTGAAGAGGTATAACTGTCTTCCAGCCGCTGCAAATCCTCCTAAAGATTTGATTGGCGATATTCTGTGGTCGGAAAATATGTTCTTGTAGAGATTAAAATGAATTTCTATTATACATATTTTCTAAGTTTTTCGTCCATATTTTGAAAAAAATGATTACGTACTACATATTTTGCTTTTTTATCGCTACCAGAAATTCCGTTCTCTAGTTATTAATCTCGATCAGCATTTTAGATTCAGAATGGTATGATCTACAAACACATCTGACTAAACATATTCCATTTAGCCCAGAGAATTCAAAATCTTCAGTCAACAACAAACAATTTCACTTAAAACTTTCCAATTATGCCAAATTAAAAATGTTTTAAAGTATAATATAATAAAATGACTATTGTACTATACTACTTGTACTATATTTACGTAGAGTAACGTAATATTTTTCTCCCTTCAAAACTTTCAAAAGTTTCTGCAATTAATAGATGACTAAAATCATTTAGGGAGTGAAACGACACAGACGCATTATTCACTTTCACGAATTGTTTCATAGCAAATAAATAAATTCAGTTAAGTTAGACGTACAGAATTTGCAATTTCCAATCCAATAACGTATTACTTGCTTTATTATTTGCTATATGTTTAAACATACATTTTTCACTTTACACTACGTACAAACACATTTCAAATAGTGAAAAGGAAGATAGCTGTTGTAAGCAGTGAAACAGAAAATTCATTGAATTTACGTCTTAATGCACTGAATCCATTAGGTATGTCTTCATAACGCAGAAATATTCAGTAGAAATATTGCACATATTTCAAGTTATATTTCATATCGTTTCAAGTGTGATGCACCAAGGCCAAGAGAATTTGAGACTAAAATACAACTATAAGCATGGAGAACATAGAGAATGTTCTCAAAACTCTGAAACTACTAGAAATTGAGTAAAAATATTTCGGACATCTTATCACTCTAGAAACCTCAACTGCAGTATTCCGGGACCACATGAAAAAAAAACCGAAGGTCTTCGCAGTAAACAGAATACCAAAAAATCGCAAAGGAATTAATGGATTTGCCGCTAACAGAATCAGGTGTAAGAAGAAGAAAATGCCCCCAAAATACGGATTCGGCGCTAAAAGACCAGCAGCCAAAACAGGCAACAACAAACAAGGAAAACGCGACACAAAATCCGCGTGTTTCGCAATGAACCTCGAGGCCCCGATGGTGCGGCGATAGGCGACGCACGTGGAGTCGGCGCGGGGCTGCAGAGCGCATTTCGCTCGCGTGTGCGCCGGCGGTTGCCTGGCACCGCGCCCGCGTGGGCGGCGGCGGCGGCGGCGGCGGCGCCGCGGATCTGTGAGCCGCCGGCTCGAGATACGCGCGGTGCGCACGCGATGCGCGATAAGCCTTCCGAGGGGGCGTGGCGGGGGCGGGGCGGGGGCGGGCGGAGGAAAAGGTGTGAGCACGTGCCGCTCTGCGCCGCATCACCCACCGCGACGCAACCGGCGAACAGGACCGGCTTTACGCCGCTCCGGGGCACGTGGTGTGTGTGTGTGTGTGTGTTGTAAGAGAAATACTGAAAGTTTGTGGGGGGAGGGGGAAATATGTACTTGGGATAAGTGTGTGCTCGATTAAAACACGTGAGGATATGATAGCTAGCGCGCAATAGTGATTATAAAATGTACCAACGTAAAGAAGAGAGGTTGAAAGCAATGACTGCTCCACTCCACCACAGATAAAAGTAAAAAAAAAATCCTCTATGACTTTGTTAGTCTTGAACTGCTCTTTGGTACCTATTTGCTCCAACAGTGAGACAACTACGTCTTATAGGAATCCCAAGCACAGTACACATTTGTCTCACAGTCTGAAGTAACTGAGTACTTCAGAGGTTGTTGCAAAAAACTTTCATAAAATCATACAAAATTAATTTTTTTACAAAATCAGGTGACTCACAACCTAGAATAACAGTCCTAAATATTAAATTAATAAATCTAATTTTTAGTCTATGTAGTCCTACAAGAAAATGACTGTTTAATTTTGTTGAAACTGGTATACGCGTATTACCTCACTCCCCTCCAATACTTTTCTTACCTTCATTAAAACAGACACCAAAGTAATTTCCGATAATTTAGACAATGTTAAAACTTTTTTTACTATCCGTTTTAATGAAGGTCAGAAAACTATCACAACTAAACGAGATAACAGACGTTAGAATATTCCTTAAAACAATACTGATAGATATTAATCCGATGGTGAGTATTTTTTTGTTTTCCGGGAACGTCAACTATAATTAGCCCTGTGCATACTCGCTGCGATGATGACCCTCCTCCTCTAGAAGATGAAATACATCTTTCTCACTTCCTTGTTATGAGTGCCGGTAATCAGATCCTTGCTTTACAAGTAATAATTAAGGTCTGCAAATTATGTTACTGCGTTTTTAATGAATTTCATCCTTTAGTTAATTACACGTTTCATCCACAGAATCATCTCTCATTTTTTGTCATTCTCTACCAATTTTTTTACACTATACATTCATTTCCATGCGATGCACTCATGATGATGCATTAATAGAATTTGTTAATGAAACGGTGAAATAAACGTATCCACTTAGTCGTCTTCATCTCAAATTAATATTTTATAACGCTCAATGTACAATTGTCTTTCGGAGGCTACCACGTCTGAACTATTTTTACGAGAATGTTAGCCCTGGCCGGTAGGGATGTTAAAGCCATCGCTTTATGATTTTCTGCGGAGTTTGAATGTAATTTGAATGGTATAAGCAAGATTTCCTTTGTAGCGTAGAAATTGAATTTTCAAAAATGTTGATAAACCGTGAAAGTTTTCTACAGTTTTCTATACATATTTCCAAGCACGAAATGTAGAACTGAGTTACGTTTCATCTTCAAAGTCTCAGACAAGAAGAGAAAATGTACCCAAACACTGTAAAAATGCACCCAAACACGCAAAACGCATTCTTACTTACGCAATTGATAAACTGTTTTGATACGATAATCTCACGGAAATTACAGTTCAAGCTTTTATAACACTTCCAGATTTTGCACATTCCAACCAAGCAACTGCAGAGCCGGTGTTCGTAATCAGTGTAGCTGGGATATTTCGACAGAAACCAGAGCTTGGAATCGCACGTGTCGTCCCGTTTGCTCAACACAGCGTGACAGCTTCTAGCAGCTATCACGTTCCTGGGCCCAGGCCACGCATTCATTCCTTGCATACATCTATTCGCCGTCTCCCGCGGGATGTTTGGAAGGGGCAGAAGGCGAGGAACGGGACGGAATGAAGAAGAGGGGAAGATAGATGTTCGTCTGCCTCGCTTCCCCAGCTAATTAGTCCCTTGGCTGCATTAGTTACGCATCTTATGTGCGTTTTCCAGCTCGTTTTTTTACGCGGATATGCTCACGAAACGACTCCTGTGGAATTACTTAAGAAAATGCCATATTCTTCAAAGAACAACTGAACTCAGATGTTTTATCGCTGTCTGTAAGAATCCTACTTTGTAATCAAAACCCTCGGGGCGTTTTGCTTCGAAGATGTATAAATGCAGGCTTAGCCAGGCAAAGAAGATAAGGTGTGTTTCAAAGGGATGATGCATTTTCTGCAAAAAATGAGTAACTTCGTATGCATGTAAAATTGTACTTAGAACACATCAGATTATCATACAAGACGTCTGACTAACATTTTGACGATAGATTCACAGATTAAAAAGTTAATTCTTTATGCAGAAAACCTCCTGCTCGTTTTATTTGCTCAGTGACAGAGATGTGCAAACTGTGAAGGGCACAACGTATCTTGTTTAAAAATTTGATTGAACGGATGTCAGCGAAATAAAAACTTTCGTTTATATATGGTACAAGAACATAATGAGAGTAGACATTAATATTTTTACAACCTTCCCTCCTTAGCTTCGAATTTGATTGTTTTGTGTGCCAAGAAAAATTTCATAAAAGTTTAAGCCCGCTTTAATTGATTTCTTTTAAGAATATAATGTTGATCGAAACAAACAAGCACCTTGAAAACTGATATAGCTATTTTTTTTCAACCCAACATTGTTTTGTGACAAAGATTGCGAAACTAAACTTGTTCACTTCATTACAAAATTATGACACTGACAGAAGCGTACACAAACTGCAAGGATTTAGGCTTTGACAATTGAAGGAGTTCCTCCCACCAACTGAAATTTAATTTTTTCCCAAATGTATATTTCTTGATGATTTTGTTTAAATATTATTTTAATAGGATTTTCATTAATGAAACATTTATTTTCATTTTGTGTTAACTTCTATCTTGAGAGCCCGAAATAAATGAAATGCTCGGACTAATGGGCCGCCATCATGGAGTGACTCTTGAAGCAGCTCCGCTCCCTCCTCCTTCCTCGCTGACCGCTCCTCCGATGAGCCGCTCATTCGCTGAGTAATCCCACACGAAACGCCTTCAAATCCTCCCCCTCCCGCACCCGTGTCCCTCGCAGGCAGTGCTGTGTGCT